CTTCAGAGGGTTGTTGTAAGGAAGAAAACATTTCCATCGATGAACATCAGAAACATATGTTTGCATAAGTTAACATGTAAAGCACTTTTTTTTTTTTTTTTTTTTTTTTTTTTTTTTGCGGTACGCGGGCCTCTCACTGTTGTGGCCTCTCCCGTTGCGGAGCACAGACTCCGAATGCGCAGGCTCAGTGGCCATGGCTCACAGGCCCAGCCGCTCCGCGGCATGTGGGATCTTCCCAGACCGGGGCACGAACCCGTGTCCCCTGCATCGGCAGGCGGACTCTCAACCACTGCGCCACCAGGGAAGCCCTGTAAAGCACTTTTATTAGGAGCAATGGGATAATAAACTAAAGTGATCAAAATGGTTTTATCAGACTATGCACACAAAGTGTTTATTTAAGGTATTTATCATTTGTATTATACTGCCTAATTTTTTTTAAGATTACAAAAAGAATGTTTAATAAGGTATATCACAGAGTATTATCAATTTAGGAAAAACAGTGAAATGGCAATAAATAAGAAATGAATTATATTATGGCAAGAGGATTGGTTTGGAGTGAAGAGAAGGCCAAAGAGTATTAAATGGCTATTAAATGTTGGAGTTAAAGCATGATGCATTTCATTTTATACTATGGAATCTCTAGTCTAATCTTTTGTGAAAGTCTTCCTGAAAGAGTTGAGGTAATGACAATCTCAGGCTTCTTGGCTTATCTTCCCATAAAGCCTTCTCTCAAACTTTGAATATCGATTGTCAACCCATTGGGTAACCAACTTTTTTTTCAACAAATATCTGTACTGCTTAATTTTTATTGTGTTGTTGTGTACCATTAACACTTACCATATGCTTACCATCCATGTCCCAGGCACTCTGCTGGGCAATTCCTAAGCATTGCCTCATGTAATCCTCTTAACATTCCCCATAATAACAGGTAAGGCAACTAAGACACAGAGCACATCAGTGACTTGCCCGAGGATCAGCCACTTGAACCACAGTGTGTCCTAATCCATACCTCTTGCCTCACTTTATTCTATATCTTATGATAGTCTAAAACCATTGCTAACAAAAACACATGTACAATAGAATGCTAACAATAAATAAAGCCTCTGGGAAGGGGGCCAATAATTGAGACTGGAGCCTCGGATAAAATAGTTATTGCATCAAGCATTAATTTAGAGCTAAGCTTCCCAACAACCAAGGCAAAACAGAGTACACAATGCTTCATACGGTACCTGATTTTAAAAACAAGCCATGCTCTTCCTTCCCTCACCCTGAACCTGGAGTACTCCTACTCGTTTATTCATCAATAAAATCTAGTAAACCTCTACTTTTGCCATACACATTTCAGTCCTTCAAAAGACACACTAGTCCCTGACACCAAACTCTCAGCTAAGTTTATGGTGTGGTTTTTCATAGGACAGATATGGGATGATCTGTTGAACAATGTCTTCATAAGAGCTGGTGCAGGAGCTGCATGACCACAGTCTGAGTGACCACTGCTGGTGTCAGCCCTCAATAAAAGCAGATAGTGAAACCGAGTGGGGCCCTGTGGGGCTCCTGGCATGGAGGCCTTTTTGTCCCCCGTTTCTTGTAGGCAAGACTCCAGCCTCCATGACCTTCCCTGAGTTCCGGAGGGCTGATTCGAACAGTTGTTAAACAAGGGAGGAGCAGCCTACAAACCACTTGAAGCCAGATTAAAGGGACCAGAGAAGCTCATCAAGATTAGGAGACCGGGGCTTCCCTGGTGGCGCAGTGCTTGAGAGTCCGCCTGCCGATGCAGGGGACACGGGTTCGTGCCCCGGTCTGGGAAGATCCCACATGCCGCGGAGCGGCTGGGCCCGTGAGCCATGGCCGCTGAGCCTGCGCGTCCGGAGCCTGTGCTCCGCGACGGGAGAGGCCGCAACAGTGAGAGGCCCGCGAACCATACAAAAAAAAAAAAAAGATTAGGAGACCGACCACCTGAGATGAGATGAAGGGAGCGCAGGCCCTGTACACACCCTAATCTTGTCAGTAACCCCACCCTTGAACTATTGCTATAAAACGCCTCATCAAATCCTCCTAGGTGGGGACATACACTTTTTCAGGGCAGGAGCCCTCTGTGTCCCCCTTTGCCTGGCAAAGCAATAAACCTATTCTTTTCTTTTTTTTTTAAATTAATTAATTAATTTGTGGCTGCGTTGGGTCTTCGTTGCTGCTTTCCCTAGTTGCGGTGAGCGGGGGCTACTCTTCATTGTCGTGCGTGGGCTTCTCATTGCAGTGGCTCTCTTGTTGTAGAGCATGGGCTCTAGGCGTGCAGGCTTCAGTAGTTGTTGCACATGGGCTCAGTAGTTATGGCTCGCGGGCTGTAGAGAGCAGGCTCAGTAGTTGTGGTGCACGGGCTTAGTTGCTCCACGGCATGTGGGATCTTCCCGGACCAGGGCTCGAACCCTTGTCCCCTGCATTGGCAGGTGGATTCTTAACCACTGCGCCACCAGGGAAGCCCCAAGCTATTCTTTTCTACTTCACCCAAAACTCTGTCTCCAAGATTCAATTCAACACTAGTGCACAGAGGCCGAGTTTTTGGCATCAGTAGCAGCATATTCAATCCATGGGTCGTGGTAGGGTTAAGTGCCACAGGGATCTTTGTAAGACCATGAAGTACTATGATCTGTTCAACTGAAAATAACGGATGATGCCATTGTGTAAGATAGTGCATTGCTTTATACTGGACTTGAATATGTATAAGGAGTAGCAGGCCCAAAGATTTAAGAGGAAATCATGGAAGAAATTAAAAATTTTTAAGTGTTAAACTCTATCCATTGAGGTAATATATTTTCCTGAAAATTGGGGGAAACTAGATATCAGTAGCAGAACATCTTGACATAGCCATAGAAAAGTAGTGATCATAAAACAAGATTACAAGTGAGAGGACAGAACTCCGTGATGCCTCCCTCGTTCATGTGAGTGTGGCTGAAGTTTGGTGGTCAAAGCAGGGAATGAGGAACTGGCCAAGCCAGAGGAGTCCAGAGCGTTGGGCTGCTGCCCTCCAAGTCCCTGGGGTGGGGGAGGGGCATCCGGACCCAGAAGTCATCCTCCTTCCATAGAAGGGATTCCTTGCTATGCCATCATCTAGGTATTCTATTTCTTACTCTGCCTTTGGGCCCCAAAGCAACAGGCTAATGTGCCTTCTGTATTTCCAAGACAGGGTAGCATAATGCAGCATTTCCCAAACTTTGATGAGAAAAAGCTTTGTTGGCAGCGCACCTATTAATATCTCCAGAACAATGTTCCTCGTGACACACTGATCTAATGTAATGTGTATACATAAGTGAATAAACTCTGGCCAATGTTCAAGATAAGGGATATAATCCTTGTATTATGCTTTCATCTTGCTTTCAATTTTAGACGTTGGTTTTTCTTTAAACAAGGCCTTCTGACTCACTGAAGCTCTTTGTGCAAGGAGGTATGTTTGCATTTCAAAGTCTCATGTTTCCTAAGAAAGCCAAGTTCTGAAAACACGTTTTGCTGTGATAAAGACTTTTCTGAGATTATAAAGCTAAACAAAAAGTACAATGAATTTAAAAGTTCTTTCTTACCATGGATTTAGCAACAAGAGACCCCAAAATACTTATTTATACAATCTTCTTTGCCTATGAATCCACTGGGCAACTACATAACCAACAGGTTAAAGAAACACATATAGTTGTACATATGTGGGTGGGTTCATGGGTAGTAACTGTAGGGTATGTGTTCTTCAGGAATATTAACTCTTCTCCTCCAGCTGGGTGACTTTGACAAACCACTTCCTATGTATATTTCAATCTTGCCATCTGAAAAATGAAGGTGTTGGATTATAGTGTTTTTAATACTTCCGCAAAGATGAGAATCCCTAGAAGTAGTGGTTAAATATTGAGATTATTAAACCCTCTATTTGAACTTCTGATTAAATGGACCTAGGTTGTTTGTTTATTTTTTGTTTGTTTGCTTATATGCTTGTTTGTTCATTTGTTTTTAAACAAAGCCTCTAGGTCTTTATCTTCAAGGAATTTGAAAACTTGATTAGATGACTCAGGGACTTTCCATCTCTGCCATTCTATAATTCTGTGACTCAGTGAGGTGGGAGATCCACTAGCCCCCTCAACAGAAGCTTACTGTAGTTAAGATGAGACCTTGGGGGACTTCCCTGGTGGCCCAGTGGTTAAGAATTTGCCTCCCAATGCAGGGGACGGCTTCGATCCCTGGTCGGTGAACTAGCTCCCACTTGCATGCCGCAACTAAGAGTTAGCATGCCACAACCAAGACCCGGGACAACCAAAAATAAATTAATTAATTGATTCAATAAAAATTTAAAAAAAAAAGATGAGACCTTGGGAAATTTCTTTCTTAGGTTCTCCCCCATGAAGAGTGACATCCAGATAAGTTTGTGTGAAATAGATACCTACCTCTCATAAGTCAAGGAGATGATAAGCCCTATGAAAACAACAAACCCTAGTTATGTGGTGGTTATTAAAACTGTGAACACTCTCCCCCTTAACTCTCCTGATGTGTTCTCTTAAATAAATGTCTCACTCAGGGTCCTAGTGTCTGTCCTCCTCACCAAACCTCACGCTGATAACTTTCAACATCCAGAAATGGTTTGAGAACCGCCTAACTCCATGACCTGTTGTCAAACCTCAAACTCCTAGAAACACCAAGTCTGATCACTTACTTTTTCTTCTCTGGAAGCCAATTGGTCCCCCTGAGACTGACCCAACCATTTCTGGGAACTGGTTGGAAAAATGAAGTCTGGTTTTCCAACCAATCCTTTGAGATAATCAGAAGACAGAAGGCTAAAAGGTCCTGTGACTTTACCTTCTCTAAAAGAAAACCTATAGGACAGCACCCAAACACAATCATCTCAATGTTAATTTTTAAAACTGAAGTTGCACCTTCCCCTGTCCAAATCAATGATTCATGCAGGGAGGAAAGCAGCATCGTGTTTTGCTGCTGAAAGACTGTAATCTCTTTCTCTGAACATCTTTAAGAACAGTGCTGTGCGGTGGCCCAAGCGCAGCCGGAGGAGGCGGAGGACGCCCGCCCTGCACCGCAGCTCGCATCTGCGGCCGCGCGATCCACCTCCCGCGCCGCTTCTCCCGCGTGCGTCCCTCTGGCCGCGGAGCCGGCGGGAGGCCACAGCAGACCGATGGCGGCGGCCCTGTCGGGCCTGGCGGTACGGCTGTCGCGCTCCGCCGCGACCGGCGGCTCGTACGGCGCCTTCTGCAAGGGGCTCACACGCACGCTGATCATCTTCTTCGACCTGGCCTGGAGGTCTGCGCATGAACTTCCCTTACTTCTAAGTTGTGGCTTCGGTGATTCTCAAAGTGGGCCTGCAGGTACATATTTAGAGCAACTAACTTGTGGCACTCTGGGAGGGGGGTGCCCAGCAGGATGGCTGAGCTCCACCCCCGACCTCGCCCGCCCTAGAGCAAAGCGACCAGCTCGCCTCGCGCACACAGACTTGCCTGCCGGTCTTGCCATTGCCCCATCTTTTCATATAAATGGGCGGCTAGAAATCATTTGCTGAAAGCCTGCAATATAACCAAAAAAGCCTAAGATATAATTAAATGTTGAATCTCAAGGAAATAGCTAATTCAAAGAACAGAACTTAAAAATCTGAAAGTCCTCAGAAATATTTGAGAAGTTCTTGCATCCATAAAACAAAAGACAGCATCGAATGTAGGGAAATGACAGTAAGCACAGGATGCCCTAAGGGGGAAAAAAGGAAAAGTTACTAACAACTTAAAAAAAGTTAAACTGTACAAGAATGGTCCAAATAGGAGACAAATCTTGCAAATTAGAAAAAGAAGAGAAGAGACTTCCAACTGAATGGAATCGATTCTAGGCAACAGATGGATGGAGTTAGACGGAGGAAATTTACAACATGATCTGAAGGCAGACATTTCTTCATCCCCAAAGAAAAAACAATGGCAAACAGAATCTACTGGGAAAAACAAACATTTCAAACTGTACAAGGAGAGCATGCTTCACATATGAAGCAACCTCAGATGTGGCCTGTTTTTCAACCGTTGCCTGGAGTGTGAGAAAGGGAATCTGAACACTGGCATGTGGATCAAAACTCTGCAGTCACAGAAAATCCAATCATAGCGTTCAACTTTGCCATTCAGTGAACAGTGTTTAATCATTGCAATGGAAATATTAGTTACGCATTTTCATTTTTAGAGTAAATCTCTAGGCAAAGCAGGGGAGACAGTTATAGAACAGAGTGGGAATGTTAACCAACTTTGACAAGTACAGGCAACAAGTTGGCAGGCAAAGAGGAAGAAATGGAATAGTGGTGTTATTCTCTTAAACTAGGAAGTCCAGATACTGTCTCTAGTTGAAAGAATAAGACAGATTTAGGAGTTAGATTTTTTAAGTGAACAAGGTAACCAACAAAAGAGTTAAAAATAGTGATACAACCAAATGGAGGAGGGAGGAAAACCAAGGGGATAGCAGGAAGTCAGCAGAAAATGCCTCATGTCATCAAGTTAAGAAATAGTAAGAAAAACATATTATTAGGAAAAATGGAGTTAACCTCTAAACAGACATGTAAAAGTTTTTGCCTCTGGGTTGGGAAAGCAAAAGTTGAGAAGGGTGGATGGGGATTTACTGCTTTTCATTATATGTCCTTTTGTACTGGTTGATTTTCCTAAATCTCTTACATGCATGTATTACTTTGATTAAAAGTTAAAACTTATTAAAAATGAATTTACTGCAATTAAAAAAAAAAAGAGTGTTGATCAGAGTGAGAGAAAATAATTGACACCAGGGAAAGGAAATATAGATATGAGACTGATGAGGTTAAGTAAAAATCCTGAATTTGAAATGCAAGTATCGGTATGAACATACATCGGTATGTTATTCTTTTTAATAAATTTATTTATTTTCGGCTGAGTTGGATCTTTGTTGCTGCTCGGGGGCTTTCTCTAGTTGCAGCGAGCGGGGGCTACTCTTCGTTGCGGTGTGCGGGCTTCTTGTTGCGGTGGCTTCTCTTGTTGCGGAGCACGGGCTCTAGGCGCGCGGGCTTCAGTAGTTGTGGCACGCGGGCTCAGTAGTTGTGGCTCGTGGGCTCTAGAGCGCAGGCTCAGTAGTTGTGGCACACGGGCTTAGTTGCTCCAGGGCATGTGCGATCTTCCTGGACCAGGGATCGAACCCGTGTCCTTTACACTGGCAGGCGGATTCTTATCCACTGCACCACAAGGGAAGTCCCTACCTTGCATATTCTTGAAGGTGGCCAAGGAAATCACCCTTTGTTCTCATTCCTGTGGGATGAGCTATACATGGAGATGGCAGAAGCAGGATGACCCTGCTTTATGCTTTCACCATACTGAGGTGTTTCAAAATAAGTGATCTGAATAAACATTCAAAAGCAACTTTTTCCAACATCAACTTAGTGCAGTTATTTGAGGTGGGGGTGGAAGGCCACAGAGGACCATGATGTCAGACTCCAGAACACAACTTTCTTCCCCCTAACATGATTTAAAACTCAAACCATCTTCACATGCCTTTCTGAGGCCAGAACAACAATCCTGGGCTCTTGGCCAGAACCAACCCCCCACCTTTTCAGCACCAGTGTCTTTCCTCTCACTTCTTTAAAGAATGGAGAAGAGAGGAAAAACCTGGAAAACATTATGCACCTTTGACAAAAGTAAACTAGAAACATACTGTGTCAATTTCTCACAGACACTGTAGTCAGAACCTCACTTTATTTTCAGATGTGTGGGAGGGTCTTCTGTTAGATGCTCAGTCCAGCACAGCAGGGAGAAAACAGGATACACTGTAACTAGGTTGTAAATAGATTTAAACCCCCTGGGTCACCCTGCCTTTAATTTCCTAATGCCCTGCCCCACAACGGAATGACAGGGCCAATATCCTCAATCTCAGAGGTTTGCAAAATTTCCTTCTTCACACAACTCTGGAATTCCTTATGTGCACAGACTAAATAGAAACAAAACCAAATTCATGACAAAGGACTTTTTTAAAACTTGAAATAAAACAAGCATTTTTCTGAACAGGAAGAGTAACAGACACAAAGAAAGCCACTCAAATTGTTTTCTTCACATGCTGAGCTTCATAGCTGTCCCTCACACTTATTCCTGATCCACGGTGCCCTTTTCATTAAGTTGCTTGTGGATTTGAATCCACTTTGATTCCCATCCTTTCCATAAAACCTTCAGTCTCTCTTGAGAACCAAGGTCTAGGCTGAAGAAGTTGCAGTTAGAAACAAAAGTGAGTTAATACCAGGCAGAAAGTATTAAGTAAAGCCTGCTAAACTTTCTTCATGCCTTCTTTCTCGTAACGCTTGCATGACCCTCTGAGGGAGCTGCTCTTATTTCCTCCATTTCACAGTTGAAGAAACCAAAGTTTCAAGGGGCTACAACTAGTAAGAGACTCAGCTATGACTGGAACAAATTTCTGTTTTACTCCGAAGCTGAAGCCTGTAATCACCGTGATAAACCTTTTACCAGGAAGCTTTGGAAGGGACTTAGCTATTTATGTTAAAAGTAGGGCTTCCCCGGTGGCACAGTGGTTGAGAGTCCGCCTGCCGATGCAGGGGACGTGGGTTCGTGCCCCGGTCCGGGAGTATCCCACATGCCGCGGAGCGGCTAGGCCCGTGAGCCATGGCCGCTGAGCCTGCGCGTCCGGAGCCTGTGCTCTGCAACGGGAGAGGCCACAACAGTGAGAGGCCTGCATACTGAAAAAAAAAAAAAAAAAAAAAAAAAGGGCAAAGGACCTGAATAAACATTTTTCCAAAGAAGACATACGAATGGCCAACAGGTACAAGAAAAGGTGTTCAACAGCACTAATCATCAGGGAACAGCAAATCAAAGCCACAATGAGCTACCACCTCACAGCTGTAGGAATGGCTGTTATCAAAAAGATAAGAGATAAGTGCTGTTGAGGATGTGGAGAAAAGGGAATCCTTGTAGATGGTTGGTGGGAATGTAAATTGGTGCAGCCATTACGTGCCAAAACAGTACAGAGGATCCTTGAAAAATTAAAATAGAAGTGCTATATGATCCAGCAATCCCACTTCTGAGTATATATCCAAAGGAAATGAAATCACCATTTCAAAAAGATATCTGCATCCCCATGTTCACTGCAGCATTATTACAATAGCCAAGACATGGAAACAACCTAAGTGTTCATCAGTGGATGAATGGATAAAGAAAATGTGATACACACACACACACACACACACACACACACACACACACACACACACACTGGAATATTATTCAACCGTAGAAAGAAGAAATTCCTGCCATTTGCTACAACATGGATGAAACTTGAAGGCATTATGCTAAGTGAAGTAAATCAGACAGAACAAGACAACTAGCATATGCTCTCACTTATATGTGGAATCTTAAAAAAAATCTTTCAAAAATCATAGGAACAGAGAGTAAATTTGTGATTGTTGAGCTTGTGGGGGAAGAAATGAGGTGAAAGTGGTCAAAGGTACAAGTGTTCAGTTATAAGGCGAATAAGTTCTGGGGATGTAACGTACAGCATGGTGACTATAGTTAACAATATGTGAAAGTTGCTAAGAGAGCAGATTTTAACACACTCACACAAAGGTAACTGTGAGGTGACGGATGTGTAACTAACCTTACTGTGGTAATCATTTTGCAATATATGTGTATATCAAATCATCACGTCGAGAATAGATCATTGCTTATCTTTGCTAATAAAATCATGCAAATATTCCAAAAAAATTCATCACGTTGTACACCATAACCTTACACAATGTTGTATGTCAATTATATCTCAATAAAACTGGAAAAAGATAAACTCATTCAAGTTAAAAAAAAAAAAAAAAGATATCCAAAATGGAACTTGTGCTTTTGACCCTTAATGTGCTCTTCCCCAGTCCTGTAAAAGTCACCACCATCCACCCAGCTGCTCAAATCAAAAGCAAGTCCTCCCAACTGTGACCTTCAACATTTATCCTTACTGTGACCTACTCTCCCTACTTCCACTGGCTGCTGGTCTGTGTGTGTCTGTGTGTGTGTGTGCATCAGTGGGTTCCATGTGTTACATTTGTTATTCATGCAGGGAAATTGTTTTGTCTTTCAGTATGTGAGTTCCAGTTTTCCTTTTAAAGCCGTTTCTTCAGGGGTGGGCCCTAATTACCAAACTGCTTTTATTGCTCTCAGTCTCAAAACAAAACAGACAATCTTAGTCCTGCCTTGACCACAAGCGTCTTGAAGGAGTTTGTCTCTTCTCTTACCCCCTACTTCCTTCCAAGTCACTGACTATTCCACCCATGCAGTACCCTACTCACACTATTCTTGTTAAGGCCACCAATAAGCTCCTAATTACCAGATCCAGAGGATTATCTGTA